ACCCAATGAGGTAACATCATCCGTAGGGATGGAGTGAAATTTTAGCTGCGAGTGAAGGATGGGAGATCCTACGGAATAAGCTTATCGACTTTGCAAGATGGTCAAATCCTGTTACGATGTAGGGAGCGCCGCCGTTTTCGGTAATCCGGTCTGGTACTTCATGCATCTGAGTCCAGGCTGTGCCAAACAAATCAAAATACAAAAAAATTGATAACCGTAGTAAATATGATAGTAATTGAGGATTTGGTTGAATTTCAAAGAGGGAATTCGTCGTGTACAAAACAAGCGAAGCGTAAGGTGAAAACTAGAAAGCCATGAACAGCTGTTTTCGATCTCAACAGCAGTACGAATCGATCGACCCAATTGGGATTGACCCCGGGACCTCACTGGCAGAACGCAAGCATGCTACCCACTGGACCAAGGGGTAGCTAATCAGACTGTTGTGAGTGTAGTTGGTGCGCCCCTTGATTGTTTTGGAATCTGGATTTTTAGCTCACTCCCTCTAGGTGAACTGCTATTGATTCGCCCGCCCGGATGTTGGCTTTTCATTCTCTCACTTGGTGGATAAAGACCGCCACATGAAAGCAGTGTACAGAGCATCCTCAGCAGAGGAGTTTGGTCGTACGGAAACATTTGGTGAGGCGCAAAGAAAAGATGATCAGTTACAACCCATGACACACCCAGCAATCGTGAGGCTTTCGGGGGGAGTACTGAACAATATTGAATGAAAACCTGGAGCCGTAGCTATAACGGAGATCAATCTTTATTTTCCGAGAGTATTTCTGTATCGCTCCAAGCGGTACCAACTCATTGTGTTCCACCCCAGTGATATCGCTCACTTAAGGAGCGCGTATTGGTGACAGTCGTCCGTGGATTTCCACATGCTGATTACCTGACAACAGTCTACTCTTTCGCGTTCATTCCGAACCCAAATTGTTCTCAAGCCGGATGTTAACTTCTTCTAACATGTGAATTAAAGTCAACAGGCTTGAGTATGGCTCATGAATACAAGCAGAGATCAAATGAGTGCCAGTCGCAGAAATCAGGTTGTGGGAATGCAAGTTGACAGCTGACCAAGGCATCTCTGTGAATTTTAGGCATTGTGAGTTGGACTTGATTTGTTCCAGTTTGAAACTTACAAAATTACCTCGAATGCAGTCGGTCTCCTCAAACTCACTCGCAACTAAGAGTGATGACAACAGTTGGTTACTTGATAAAAATGTAAGATGCATGACGCCAGCCGACATTCATTGACACATCTGTTCAGCGCCAGGCGAAAGCGAATAGAGTAGAGTGGGAGCAATCGTAATTCATAGTGATAAGTGGAAACTAGAAAATCTATACGAAAGTCAAGTAGATGAAGTCCGAAGAATTCCTGTTACATTCTTCACAAGGTCGACTGAACATACTGAGAAGAATGATTGGTTCGCGGTTATTCGAATTGACTGTATACGACTGCATCACATCGGTAGTGGATTTTAGTTATTAGAAAGTTGACTTGATTCATGCGACCTACAGCTAGACGGCATTCGCTCAGTACAAAAAACAATCTTCTCTGTAAAACCGCTCGATTTACTGTTAGGGTTGTCCACACCAGAGAGCACAGGCAAAATTGAAAATGGAACCTATCAAACGCTTGATGTGATTCACCTGTGCCATCAGGGCTTGAGTACTGTTTTTACAACCTTTTGACCATGCAATTCCGTGCGTTGGTTTTGGTTGCCCAGTTGGATGAAACAGCAGGAGAAAGACAGAAAAAATGGAAGAGTAATGGTGAATTCATATAGACTGCAGTTGCAAGAATAACAATTAGATGCACGAACGCCACTGTGATATCCAGCCATACCATTCATTGTCTCTAAACAATGATCTCGGGATCCCCGTCCAGGAAATTAGCTGCATCAGTGTCCTGGTTAGGGTTTTCATACCCTCAGGCCAGGTCTTATTTTAACCATCCTTGGCTTTGTTCCAACCACTACCTGCGTCGACAAACATTACGCATCGTCACAGGCGTAACACACCCCAACCGACGTAATGTATGGAGGTCGATAATTTGCTCCAGTGGGCGACCGCGGTTGCCTAAAACCCTACACCTAACCTCAGCATTGCTCGTCCGGCTGCCCCACCAGATTCGCGCAATGCTGCGTAGACAGTGATGTTCGTATATCGACAATCTAGTTTTATCCGGGTCCAGTAATGGCCAAGCCTCTGTACCGTAGAGCAGGACTGGCTTAACTGCTGCTGCATATACTTGACCCCTCACAGAAAGCCCGACGGCGCCACAGATGTCTCTTCTGGCGAATGCCAACCAAGCCTTGTGTACGTGTGCCAATACTTCATCTGTGACGCTTCTGCTAGGTGAGATGTACCTAACAAAATTTTGTCTACTTCCCCGGTTAGAGTGAGGTTAGGTGCTGGACCAATCCAATGTTGTAGCAACATTTTGCACATTGAAGGCAGAAAACACACCGAACACTAGCACTCAAACTATCCAGAAAAGCTTGTAAATTACCTACATCTTCACTTAGCAGCGCAATGTCTTCTGCATACTCCAGATCAGACAGGCTGGCATCTGGCAGCAAATCGATGCCACTATCCTTTCACGAAGATAGGGCTGTATCATGAACTACATGTACTGGAAGCACAGTTTCCCGTAACTAATTTGAATAGAGGAGCCAAAAGCAGGTTTTTACAATGTATCATGGATCATTTCATTGCATCTGTACACGTGCAACTTGCAGTCAATGTGGTCATCAGTATATGATCGGAAAAAACAATTCTAGGCGAAGAAAGATTGCAGTCAAATGTATTCCTCAAATCAAGGTAGCCCCAGAGTGATGGTTCATTCACGTTGTTCAAATAGTTTGGGATGGTAATTTTGAATGCCTAGTGCCTTATCGTATTTCAGAACCCTGGTGTTGTTTGTTTCAGAGAATTATAAACGCGTTGCGCAGCATGATAGTGTTTCGTTTCGTTCGATGAACTGAGTTTCCTACAGCCCATTGGTGAATTGTTCTCTCTCTCAAATTGAGCCCAGGAGTTTCGTCAACTCCATGACTAATGTTAAACCTTCACCCTTAAAATCCGATGAGGACATCCCATCTGAGCCGGAGGCCTTATACCTTTTGAGGTAACTCTTGCCCCGGGAAACCTCCATTTCCGATGAAGGACTGGCATCAGCTGCTAGTATTTTTCAAGTCGATGTAGGGGGTGATAGGTGAAATGTCGGTGGGGGCCAGTTGAACTGAGCTTCGAAATGTTCAGCCCACCGATCAAGACGGCGTTATTGATGACGAATCAGTGTGCCGTCAGACTCCTTGATTACCTCAGGCCTACTTTCCCTGAGCATGTGCTCACAGTTAAACGAAAAATATTACGACTATTACCGATAACCGCACTCTTCGCCATCTCTCTACACTTCCCCATCCACCACTTCTCGTGGTCATTCCTGAGACTCCTGATGAGCCACTTTTCAAAGGATTCATCATCATCATCGTACAGCGAAATATAGTGAAGCAAACTTCACTGACTGCTGCCAAACTCACAATGCATGCAAGGTTAGTGGTAAAATTTACAGTCGACAGGAATTGGATTTATTTTGAGAAAGGGGGAAGAAGGTGAACCTCTATGGTCAACATACAGAGAGTGCACAACCGAACTCTGCATACATACGGTTTCAAGCATTCTGGCCAGATAAGAAATGACAAGACCGCCACTACTGTAGGTTCACTGCCATATCCTTCAATGTCTGGAAACCAACCACTCGCGGAGTCTTTCGGACCCCTAACCTGGAAGGCATGAGACATCTACTCTACCTAATGGCTCCGTGTACTTCTTCATGCCCCGTCTCCACGTCATCTGTTAACCTCCAGGTGGTTTCCTTCAGCCCGGAGCGGCTATAGCGAATAAGGCGCGATGTGGTAGGCGGCACCGGGCATACGCAATAAACCAGAAAAATATATTAATCT